AACAACAACACATTGTTTTTCACAAAAGGTCCTTCCCATTTCCTTCACCCTACCCACCCATAGAATTGTGCAATCCTATGATTAACACCCATCCTCACTGTCTATTTCCACCCTCCCTCACCTACTCCACCTTGGATCCCTCATACTCATTCTACAATAATGGTTTTATGTTGTATTTGTCCTTGTGGGACTGATTTCACTCAGCATAATGCTATCCAATCCCTCCCAAGTTAGTCATTTACAAAACGATTGCTCCTGCATGCTGCATAGTATTCCATTGTATGAATGTATCACTTCTCAATCCATTCCTTTGTGGTTGTATATCTGGGCTATTTACATGTTCTTGTGAATAATGCTGCTGTGAACTTTGGGCTAAATATTATCTTAATGCCTGAATAGATTAGAGGGTATGAGCACGTAGAAGGGCATTTTCAGTAGCAAGAGGCAGTTCTGATTTTAAAGAGGATATTAGCAGTGGAGATAGGAAAAGGAGAGTAAAGGTTACTAAGCAACTTAATGAGATAAAAGCTACTGAAAGATAATAGGGAGATAGGAAAGGATTAGACTAAAATAGATTTCCTGTTTCTGCCAGCAAACTCCTTTTTTTTAATCATTTCCACCATTTAACTTGTCTAATTATCCTAATTTTGTATAAAACCATTACTCTAGCTCATCACAGCTCAATGTACAAAAAACCAAAACCCTGCCCAGCCTTGTACCATCCTCGCGATTTCTATTGTGTAAGCACAGTGTTGTGTCTGTTTTTCTCATTGATGATCTTCCTCTCTTTATGCTTTTATTGTTCCATGCCTGGTATCCCTCCCTGGTAACTTGCCCCTGGAGATAATATGCCCAGACTATGTGAGAGAAATCGCAGCATCCTCACTTCTGTGGAACACTCTGCCCATACTTCCTCCAAGACTAATTTGGTTCTTTTGTCAGTCTGTGGTATATTCCATAGTCTTCTCCAATATTACAATTCAAGTACTTCTATATTCTTCAGTCTAATAAAGATTTTTCACACTAATAGCTTATGAAATAGTACTCCAGCTCACATATAATTTCCTTATCTTCCAGTAATTAAGAATTATCTCCATTTTACAGGTGAAAGACAAGACAAATACCTTCTTAGGAGTGTAAATCTAGTGGCAATATATAATTCTTGTTCTTTCCTCTGCCTTAAACTCTAAATTGCTTTCTCTTTAAAACAGTCACTGCTATGATTGTACATGAGTATTCTTTTCTCAGGGTCAGCATCACAGAATCCCCAGCAAATAACTTTTATGATCACAGGAAATTCCAGTGACATCAAATTATTTCAATGCCTTAGATTTACCAGGCTGTTGAGTGATAGAATTAACTGTAACCCTAAGCTACCATTTTTTTATCCATAATATAATTTATTATGGAGTCTAAGAATCTTCCATTATATGGATTTATTCTTCCCATGAAACCTTTTATTCTTGGGCTTT